CATAGGATTCATTGATGCTCAGCTATAGGCCTGATTACTGAGTGCTGGAGAATCAGCACAGGAGTTATGTCATGAAATTCATATAGAGTGCCATCATTATCTTGGATCCTTGAGCTGGATTATTAATTGAATAGGACCATAAGAATAGTTCATCCAAATCATTTGTTTCACGTAATTATCATTTTGTTCTTGCATGTTTATCAAGTTTAATTATTGTTGTTTACAAGAATATGGTTACCTTTGCGATTTGACATATGAATTGATACGTGAACGTGACAGTCAGTTGAAGTTGAGGGATCGCAATTGTCATTTGTCAGCGTGTGTACGAGCAGTGTTGCCGGATGACCACTCGTGGTTCTGTCACAGATTAACAGACCTTTTTATTCTGTGGTTCCGTGCTAGATCCTTAGATCATTAATAAATCAAACTGAATAAACGTCACTTGAGAGTTGCCATTCACGAAATTTAGTGTTCAACTTATTTTACCCACCCCTCTCCCTGAGCTGTATTATAAATAACTATTTTCCAATCGAGGAAAATACGGAAACTCAACAAAAGGGATTCCCCGAGCAAGAATCCATCCTTTTGTTGCCTCTCGAGTACCGAGTGGTAACAAAATTGGCGCCCAACGTGTTCGGATCTGTTTATACAGATACGATGGCAGTTTCCGTATGAGTCGACTTTGAAGGAAATATAACGAGTACAACAGGCGAATGGGGATATATCTACTTCATCGTCGTACTCACTATATCTCTCTATTCTATCATCCCACATAAACACTATTGGAGCAAACGAGTTCGCAATGACCATATATAAGACGACTTTCAAAAAGGTATAGCGCACACAGCTTGCAGAAACAAGAAACTTCGACTTCGACTATTTTTTCACTGTAACTCTGCAGTCTAGCATCTGACATGCATACAGTTGAAGCAGATATGATCGTATTAACAAATAACGACTTTAGAGGGTTTATAGCAAGTACAATAGGCAAATGAAGATACATCAACTTCATCGGTGTGCACACTCTATCTCTCTATCCTATCATCTCACATGGATACTATTGTAGCAGACGGGTTCTCGATGCCCATATGAGACGACTTCCAAGAGGGTATAACGCACACAACTTGCACAACAAGAAACTTCGACTACGACTATATTTTTGAAGAAACTCTGCAGTCTAGCATCTGACATGCATACAGTCAAGCACATATAATCGCAGTGACCATATAAGACGACTTTGGAGGGTATATAGAGAGTACAATAGGCAGATGAAGATACATCGACTTCATCGGAGTGCACACTCTATCTCTCTATCCCATCATCTCACATGAATACTATTGAAGCAGACGAGTCCGCAATGCCCATATGAGACGACTTCTAAGCGGGTATAACGCACACGACTTGCAAAACAAGGAACTTCGTTCATGTTCACACTGTCACTCTGCAGTCTAGCAACTGACATGCATACATTCGATGCAGGAACTATTGCAGTGACCGTTTAAGACGACTCTGAAGGGATTTTAAGGGGTACAATAGGCAAATGAAGATACATCGACTTCATCGTTGTGCACACTATAACTCGCTATCCTATCATCTTACATGGTCACTATTGAAGCAGACAAGTTCACAATGACCATATTAGATGACTTTCAAGAACGTATAACGCACACAACTTGCAGAACAAGAGACTTCGACTACGATTATGTTTACACAAAAACTCTGCAGTCTAGCATCTGACATGCATACAGTTGGAGCAGATACGATGGCAGTGACCGTATAAGACGACTCTGAAGGGTATATAACGAGTTCGATAGGCTAATGAAGTTACATCGACTTCATTGGTGTGCACACTCTATCTCTCTATCCTATCATCTCACATGGATACTATCGAAGCAAACGAGTTCGCAATGCCCATATGAGACGACTTCTGAGCGATTATAAGGCACACAATTTGCAGAACATGAAACTCCGACTACGACTCCGTTTACACTGTAACTCTGCCGTCAAGCATCTGACATGCATACAGTTGAAGCAGATACGATGGCAGTGACCGTATAAGAAGACGAGTTCAATAGGCAAATGAAGATACATCGACTCCATCGGAGTGCACACACTATCTCTCTATCCTATCATCTCACATGGATACTATTGAAGCAGACGAGTTCCCAATGCCCATATGAGACGACTCCTAAGCGGGTATAAGGAACACAACTTGGAGAACAAGAAACTTCGACTATGATCACACTGTAACTCTGAAGTCTTGCATCCGACATGCAAACAGTTGATGCAGAAACGATTGCAGTGACCGTATAAAAAGACTTTGGAGAAATTATAACGGGTACAATGGGCGAATGACTATACATCGACCTCATCGTTGTGCACACTATATCTCTCTTTCCCATCATCCCACATGGACACTATTGGAGCAGACAAGTTCGCAATGATGTTACGATCCGAAAGTACCTGCTCTGATCTGAATGGGAAATCTACTAATTTATGCATTTGTATGAGAGAATGGTGCCAGATTCAGATATATCATACAAAGCCCTACGCTCATTTGCATCTTTATTCCAAGTATCATATTATAACAACAGATATAGATGGTAATCCTGCGGTATCTAACAGCTCTGGGATTGGTGCTCTCCTCGTTGCAGCAGGATAGTAACCCCTAAAATCATTCAATGTATTAGGATAATGAGATTACCAGGAGCTTTGTACTTACCCGCTTGTCCCCTACTCCGAGCTTTTGGCCTGTTCCATCCAGGGTAGCCAGTTTCCATCAGCCAATGGTAACCCTGCACCTCAAGAGGTTCATTTCTGAAAATCAGAAATAATTATGAATAACATCCATCAGATTATTTTGTTTTGGGTTGGTTAGGATAGGTTATGAGTATGGATTTACCTCTTGCCAGTGCAGAACATCTTCTGTGACTGAACCACAGCCAGTTCTTCTTTCTTTATATTCTGCTCACTGGTTCTGCTCCCTCCTTCTTCTTTTGGTCTTAGTATGGAGACACAACCATCATCAAGACATTGTCAACAAGAGGAACAGGTTGACAAGCAGTTGTGAGAGAGAAAGGTTAGGATTGGATTTTGCCTCCAAAAATTGTAGGTGTCACCTGGATTCCTTTTTTTTTGGCTTTAACCTCCAGTATAGCATGTGTGCTTAGGAAATTGCAGAATTTGCAGATTTGAAAGCCAAAAAGGAAAACTTGGAAAATATTAGCAGAATCAATCATTAAGTTGATTATTTCACAACACAGTGTGGATTTATAATATTTTCCTCCTGACTCACCAGTTTCTTGTCGAAACCTTCAGATAGGCAACATTTCATCCAAGGTAAGCCTCCCAGGAATCCTCCCTTTTGTCAGTCCGGTTACCAACATAATCAATGATTTCAGGCCTTCTTATTACCCCTTCAGTACCTGTGGAGCTGCTTTGAAAAGACCTGGAGCCTACCCTCAAACCATCCCTGGTTTTGGTGGCCTATCCCCCAAACCCCTACCAATATAAATTGTCCCTATATGTAGAAATCAACAAGGTATAAGCTAACCAATCCTAGCTGCAACGGGGTTGGAGTGACATTGGCATATCATCTCTGGATGCTTGATCACAAGTAAGATCTTTCTTATTTATCAGCTTTGGCTGCCTTACCTGGTGAAGGTTGCAGACTGGCTTATTGGCCTGTGTAACACTGCATCCTTGCTTTGCATGCATGACTCTTGTGCTCACTTAGTATTAAGGATATATTGTGCTCACTCAGTATTAAGTCTATCTTGTGCTCACTTAGGATTGAGTATCTCTTGTGCTCACTTAGGAATAAGTACATCTTGTGCTCACATAGAATTAAGTATAGATGGTGCTCACTCCAAATTGAGCAAAGGTATTTATAAGTGTGAAACAAAAACAGCTGGGACTTCCTATCCATGTTCATATCAATGTAGGAGAATAAAAGTGAATCCTGTATATATCTGTAGGGCGGTCATAGAATTCATTGATGCTCAGCTATAGGCCTGATTACTGAGTGCTGGAGAATCAGCACAGGAGTTATGTCATGAAATTCATATAGAGTGCCATCATTATCTTGGATCCTTGAGCTGGATTATTAATTGAATAGGACCATAAGAATAGTTCATCCAAATCATTTGTCTCACGTAATTATTATTTTGTTCTTGCATGTTTATCAAGTTTAATTATTGTTGTTTACAAGAATATGGTTACGGTTGCGATTTGACATATGAATTGATACGTGAACGTGACAGTCAGTTGAAGTTGAAGGATCGCAATCGTCATTTGTCAGCGTGTGTACGAGCAGTGTTGCCGGATGACCACTCGTGGTTCTGTCACAGATCAACAGACCTTTTTATTTTGTGGTTCCGTGCTAGATCCTCAGATCATTAATAAATCAAACTAAATAAACGTCACTTGAGAGTTGCCATTCACGAAATTTAGTGTTCAACTTATTTTACCCACCCCTCTCCCTGAGCTGTATTCTAAATAACTATTTTCCAATCGAGGAAAATACGGAAACTCAACAAAAGGGATTCCCCGAGCAAGAATCCATGATTTTGTTGCCTCTCGAGTACCGGGGGGTAACAAAATTGGCGCCCAACGTGTTCGGATCTGTTTATACAGGGTGATCAGTAAGCAACTCTCAACTGAGGTTTATCTTAGCCATTATCTTACTATTTTTGTCTCTCGTTTCGGTTAGTAATTTGGATTTTCTTGAGCTTGAGTGGACAGGTATGGTATGATTTCGCCGATGGTTTTGCCACGATTCCAGAGTTGTTGGTGCAGATGAGCATTGCGTGCTTTAGATTCATAATTTTAGAGCATAGAGGTCATACCTACACAAGGTGTTGTGGTCAATAGGTGACAGAGGTATTCGAGGTCTGGTATACGAGGGGTATATAAGAGATCGCAATATCCGAATTTTGGAAAAAGTATATAGATATACAGGGTGTACATAAATTGTAACTTTTCTTTTCTCAGATATTTAGGGTATAATTTTTCGTATGTTCGATCTCATTGATCCGACAGATGGAGAAGGTGGCATCAAGTCAGGAGATGTGGTTGACAGATTTCCATCCAGAGGAGGAGGACCTTTGTTCACGTCTTCCTCAGGCCCTCGGACAGGCCCTCATCCTTCTCCCCAGCAACAAGCTTCACGGGGAGCTGATTCCCTCAATCCTCCGGATCCGTCTAGCCAGAGTCAGGCTCACCTTAGAGAATCGGTACTGCCTGAGAGTCAGAACCCGATGTTCGTTAGGTTTGCGGAGGAGGACCAGTTCCTGGCCAACTCGACATGGTCAACCCGGTTTGCCACAAGAAACCAGTTATCACAACTGGATGACTTGACTGATGATTATTCCCCAACACTGGCCGATAAATTTAATAATCTTCGATTGCAGCCCCCCCAAGGCGGCAACAACGTACGGCAACGTGCCAAGGAGCAGTGGAGTCAAGTAGATCGCTGGGGAGTACGGTTCAATGAAAGGACTAGTGTCAACGATTTCCTTGAGCGGATAGAGAGGCTTCGGTTGTCCAGCGGGGTTTCAAAAGATCGACTTCTCCGGTCCGCTTCGGAGTTGTTAACACACGAGGCCCTCCTTTGGTACCGCACTGGACGGTTAAATTCCTGAGATGAACTGGCCGATCGATTTAGGGAGGCATTTCAACCGTTTGACTATGAATATGGGTTGTGGGATGAACTGAGAAGAAGAACTCAGGGTGCTCAGGAGAAGATTATGAACTATGTGTCCATTATGGAAAACATGTTCAGGAAAATGCCCAGGTTGCCCTCAGAACCTACCCGAGTTAACCTAATAAGGAAGAATCTGTTGCCCCATATTCAGAAACAGCTTTCTTTGTGTGGAATTACCACAATTGCGGAACTGGTTCGACTCAGTCGAGCAATTGAAGAGACGGAGTGGAGAGTGGACAAATTCACTCCACCCCCTACGAATGTGCGTAACCTTCTCGAACCTGAGTTGGCTTACCTGCGTACAACCCCAAACCAACTTTCTTCGGTGCGAAGTGAGGGTGCGGCTACGGCCTCAGCAACTACCTCCCGCCACCCGATGCCTGGTTCGAACCCCTCAAGTGATCTGAACGTCGACGCGATGACGAATCAGCCTGCGAAGTGTTGGAACTGCCAGAGTTCTGAACATAAATTTCGTCAATGCTCTCAGCCCCGTCGGAAATTTTGCTTCAAGTGCGGACGGTTGGACACAGTCTCATACTCATGTCCCAACTGCGCAAAAAACTCGAGAAGAGGTCCCCAGTAGGCCGGTGGGTAGACCTCTCCACTACTATCCTCCCGGTCGATCGAAGAACTTCCGTAATCATCGATTACGTGCTCGCTCACGCAAAGGGTGACACGAGGTCATATCTGACGGTGGATATTTTGGGCCAAAAGTTCCTATCCCTATTGGACTCGGGCTGTACTCGCACTGTTTTGGGAGAGAGAGGTTGGAAAATTCTTGAACCGTTCTGTCGACTACAAGAGGTTTCCGAGCAGCAATGCACGGTTGCTAATGGACACAGCTGTCCCGTAGTGAGGATGATTGCTGTTCCAGTGAACTTATGTGGTAAGGTGAAAATTTTCGAGATATTGGTAGTTTCCTCTCTTCCACATACTCTTATACTTGGTATGGACTTCTGGTCAAGGATGCGAATCATTCCGGACATGTTCTCGGGGGAATGGAGTTTCCGGAACTCGGAGGAGGAGGAGTCGGCCCCACAGTATCTGAATTCTATCAGTACCCTATCGGACGTTCAACGCCGACAGCTAGATGCCTTGATTGAGGCAACTTTTCATTCTATGGGGACCAAACTAGGATGTACCAACTTAGTTTCTCATGTCATCCAGACTACATCTCCCCCTCTTCGTCAGCGATATAACCCGGTATCTCCAGCACTACTGAAGCAGGTGCATCTTGAGTTGGATCAAATGCTCTCTGACGGAGTAGTAGAGCCCTCGTCCTCCCCTTGGGCCTCGCCTATTCTGTTGCTGCGAGAAGATGACGGTCGTTACAGATTTGTGGTAGATTTCCGGCAGCTCAACAAGGTCACGGAACGGGACGCCTACCCTCTGCCTTTAGTAAGTGCTACCCTGGATAAGCTACGGGATGCGCACTATTTGACCACTTTGGACATCAAATCTGCTTACTGGCAGATTCCCTTATCGGCCGAGTCAAAACCACTGACCACATTCATTGTACCCAATCGGGGGCTCTTCCAGTTTACCCGGATGCCTATGGGCCTTCACAATGCTCCTGCAACATGGCAAAGGTTCATCGATCGGGTTATCGGGGTAGATTTAGAACAATACGTCTTCGTCTACCTCGATGACGTCATCATATACACAGACACCTTCGATAAACATCTTCATATTCTGACAGAGGTTTTGGCGCGACTTGCGGGCGCAAGCCTGACGCTGAATAAGAATAAATGTCACTTTTGCAAGGCGGAACTCAAATACCTGGGCTATGTCGTAGGCTCATCAGGGTTGATGGTGGATCCAGAGAAGGTAGAGGCAATCGTTAAGATTCCTCCACCACGTACTGTTACCGAGGTGAGGAGACTTATCGGGCTGGCCTCCTGGTACAGGCGCTTTGTGCCAAATTTTGCCTCCCTTACTTCGCCCCTCTGTGCGCTGCTGAAAAAGAATTCGAAGTTCGTCTTGTGAGTCTTGTGATCAGGCCTTCCGCACTCTCAAGGACCATTTGATCACCGCGCCCGTCCTTTCATGTCCAAACTTCGAGCTGCCCTTCGTGATACAAACCGACGCATCGGACTACGGTATTGGGGCTGTGCTCTCGCAGGCTTCCGAGGAAGGGGAGAAGGTGATCTGTTACTTGAGTAGATCGTTAACGGCCACGGAAAGAAAGTTCAGCACCACCGAGAAGGAATGCCTGGCGGTGCTGTTCGCTTTTGAGAAGCTAACACCTTATGTAGAAGGAACGAGGTTCAGCGTAATCACCGACCACCACAGTCTCAAGTGGCTTAATAACATCAAGGACCCGGTTGGCAGGATCGCCAAATGGGCGGTGCGGTTCCAACAATATGATTTCGATATAGTCCATAGGCCCGGTCGCGAACATTGCGTTCCAGATGCCCTATCGCGAGCCGTTCCGGTTGTGGACTCAGTCGATGGTCCAGCTGATGAAGCCCCACCAACCACGAAGGACCCATGGTATCGGCGTATGATCGCCCTAGTGAAGGCCCGACCTGATCGCTATCCCCTTTGGCGGATAGAGGGGGAGCGTATTTTCAAAAAGACCAAGGTCCCTTATATCCAGGTCTCTCGGAAGAATCCGATGGATGGCTGTTGGTGGTCCCGAAAGAAAATCGCTTGGAGATCATCCAGAGAAAGCATGACCCTCCCACGTCAGGACACTCGGGAATCTTCAAAACATGTTCCCGGATAGCCACAAAGTTCTACTGGCCCAAACTTCTTCAGGATGTCGCGCGGTACATAAATAGATGCCAGACGTGTCTGAAGACCAAACCTGAGCAGAATGCACCGGCGGGACTGATGCTAAGTGCTGGCCCTACGGTATCACGACCATGGGAGATTTTAAGCGTCGACCTAGTAGGTCCGTTACCTCGATCTACCGCGGGCTATACGTATATATTTTCAGTAATGGACATATTCTCTAAATTTATTCTCTTGTTTCCATTACGGGCGGCAACGGCGGCAAAAGTGACCACCTTGTTTGAGGAAAATATAATTCTTCTGTTTGGGGCTCCTCGACGGATCATCATGGACAATGGGGTGCAATTTCGGAGTGGATCGTTCAAGTTGCTACTACAAAGGTATGACATTATTCCAGGCTACATATCAAATTATCACGCTCAAGCCAATCCGGTGGAGCGCAGCCACCGGGTTATCAAAACAATATTGACATCTTATGTTGCCGATAATCACCGCACCTGGGACAAGTTGCTCCAACAAGTGGCGTGCGCAATCCGGACGGCCCGACATGAAACTACAAGATTAACCCCAAATTTCGTTATGTTTGGCCGGGAGATAAAATTATCGGGACAAGACAAACACTTCTTGTCAGATGAGCTCGACCAAACACCTCTTGATGCAGTTATCCGAAATGAGGTTCTTGGCCGAGTTTTCGAAGATGTGAGTAAAAGAATTAAGGATGCCTTTATAAGGAGTAGTAAGCAATACAACCTTCGACGTCGTGACGAACGGTTCGTACTGAGTCAACAAGTGTGGAAGAAAAATTACGCGATTTCGGACAGGGCTCGTGGAGTGACATCAAAATTTCTTAACAAATTCGATGGCCCCTTCACGATTTCACGCATCGTCTCCCCCTGGTCCTATGAGCTTTCCAGTGATATGGGTAAAAGCGTTGGCGTATGCCATGCCAAGGACCTCAAGGCTCACCCTCCCGATATGGACTCTTCAGAAGAATAGAAGTTCTTCATAAGAAGTTTTTTTTCTTACAAAAAAAAAAACTTCTCTCAGGAAGAGGGGGTGTTGTTACGATCCAAAAGTACCTGCTCTGATCTGAATGGTAAATCTACTAATTTATGCATTTGTATGAGAGAATGGTGCCAGATTCAGATATATCATACAAAGCCCTACGCTCATTTGCATCTTTATTTCAAGTATCATATTATAACAACAGATATAGATGGTAATCCTGCGGTATCTAACAGCTCTGGGATTGGTGCTCTCCTCGTTGCAGCAGGATAGTAACCCCTAAAATCATTCAATGTATTCGGATAATGAGATTACCAGGAGCTTTGTACTTACCCGCTTGTCCCCTACTCCTGGCTTTTGGCCTGTTCCATCCAGGGTAGCCAGTTTCCATCAGCCAATGGTAACCCTGCACCTCAAGAGGTTCATTCCTGATAATCAGAAATAATTATAAATAACATCCATCAGATTATTTTGTTTTGGGTTGGTAAGGATAGGTTATGAGTATGGATTTACCTCTTGCCAGTGCAGAACATCTTCTGTGACTGAACCACAGCCAGTTCTTCTTTCTTTATATTCTGCTCACTGGTTCTGCTCCCTCCTTCTTCTTTTGGTCTTAGTATGGAGACACAACCATCATCAAGACATTGTCAACAAGAGGAACAGGTTGACAAGCAGTTGTGAGAGAGAAAGGTTAGGATTGGATTTTGCCTCCAAAAATTGTAGGTGTCACCTGGATTCCTTTTTTTTTTTGGCTTTAACCTCCAGTATAGCATGTGTGCTTAGGAAATTGCAGAATTTGCAGATTTGAAAGCCAAAAAGGTAAACTTGGAAAATATTAGCAGAATCAATCATTAAGTTGATTATTTCACAACACAGTGTGGATTTATAATATTTTCCTCCTGACTCACCAGTTTCTTGTCGAAACCTTTAGATAGGCCACATTTCATCCAAGGTAAGCCTCCCAGGAATCCTCCCTTTTGTCAGTCCGGTTACCAAC